CAGCACTTTGTTTCTCACTCACAGCTTTACACACTGCCTTCTCAGGGGCACACTGCTTGGCCTCCCAGGCCTTCTGAAATCTAGGTGGAAGCCTTTTTAACCTCAGAACTCTTGTATTTTGCATGCACCTAAAACCAGTGTCACATGGATGATGTCAAGGTCTGCTGCTAACTGGAGTAGTAGCCATGTTTTTATTCTCTTGGCTGTAGGGGGTTGAGTACCTGAATTGCTGAGCACTGTGAACCTGATTCTTATTTTTTATGTTGCTGCCATTTTGGAACCTGGTGCAGCCACTGCTGCCATTTTGGAATATGGCACTCAGTGGCTTTTTTCTCAAAGCAAAGTCTTTTACTTTTGCAGGTTTGAGGCTGCAAAGGGTGGAGATTTGTTGTTTTTTGTGATGTCCTCAGGCTATATTTTATATTTTTCTATTCCTTCTCAGCAATAGAGATCTCCTCAGCTCTATCTTTGTAATCCACAGCTTTACTGGAGCTTTTTTTCTGGCCCAACTCTCAACTTTTTAAATCATCCTGCTGGGCTCTTTGCTCTTGATTTTCAACATAAATCTGGCTAAAAGCCCCCAACAATAGCCATGCCACAGCTTCAACATTTAACTGCCTTGAAATTTTTTTGCCAGATTAATTAGCCTGCCACCCTTAATGTCAGCTTCTGGCAAAGTCTCTGGACATGAGCAAAATGCAAACAAACTTTTTGTCAAGCCATAATATACATGATCTGGAGCCCAGCACCCAATTTGGTCCTTTTTTCCAACACAAACCTCCCAAATCTGGTCTTTACCAGCAGGACGTTTATCAGCCTTCTGGTCTTCTGAGTTCTGACCAGAATCTCCTTTGCAGAACAGCTGAAGGTGTTCCAGCACTTCTTTTTCAGACAAAATCTCTGAATCTTTCCAAACATTTCCGATAAGCCATTTCCAAAGGCTCTTGAACCACATGGTCAGATATAGTCACAGCAATAACCCCACTCCTGGTATCAAATTCTGTCTTGACTACTTTTTTCTCATTGCCCAGACAAAACTACCTGATGCCCAAAATTAAAGAAGAAAAAATTTATTTAGTTCACCATTTGTGAAGGTTTCAGTCCATACTCACTTGGCTCTAAGCCAGAGTGGTAAATGGCAAAGAATAACAGTTCATGGCAGCAGAAAACAGCACAAGCAGCAAGAGCAAAAAGGGAGGAGTGCCAAAAGCAAGGCTCTTTCCCACCCTTATATTGTATGTAGGCTTCCCGCCCCAGGATGGATGTAGCACTCACACCCATAATCCCAGCATTGGAGCATGAATCAATCACAAACTCTAGAAGCCCACCCTGTGACTGCATGAGGCTTTTGGGGGATATCTAGACACAAACCTTAACAAACAACTCCCATTGACCCAGTGGTTACCATGTGGTGGGCATCATGTTTATGGTATCATATGAAATGGAAGACATGTACAGTAGCAGCAGTAAAGCTGAAAATTGATCTCTGGTGGTTCTGATTTCCAAACTCATACTTTACTCATGATGTTTACTCTAAGCATGACTCTATCTCTAACCACACTTTGTAGACCTTAACACCTGGGCTGAATGGCAGTGGTTCAAGAGGGATTCTCAGCCAACCATGGAACAGCTGAATGAGGCCAACTCAAGGTCATTCAATTCACATTTCTCCTTAGTCCTAGGGGCTGGGGATTTAGCTCAGTGGCAAAAGCGCCTGGCTGGCAAACGCAAGGTCATGAGTTCGGTTCCCGGTACCGGAGAAAAACCAAAACCAAAAAAAAAAACTCCTTAGTCTTGTAAAAACATGACCCCCAACTATGAATGCCTAAAAGGAATTTCAACGAAGCACTATTCTTCAATGATGTGTTCCTTAAAACCTGTAATGTGCACTTTTATCTTTCATATAACAATAGATTTATAATAACAGTTATCGCAGAACTTTGGAGTTGGTAGGGACTTAGCAGATTGTCTGGTCCAGACTTTCTCTTGATGTATCTGTTGGATACATAGAACAGTCTCACTTAGAGGAAATTCAAGGTTTATAAAATAAATAAATAAATCAATAAATAAGGTGTAAATAAACATGAGTGGCAGGACAAGAATAGTTGCTCTGGCTGTATAGCCCCTTTGGGAATGATAAGAGAATTTGAAGCCAAGTCCTTGTTTTGGAAGGGTTTGAAAAGTAGAAAGACAAACAGAATCAAATCAAAGTTCTTTAGTGTCCCAGGAGCCCAGCTCGTACTTTATGAGGGCAGCTTCAAGCCAGGTGACTTATTGAGAGGCTTAGAATGGATTAGAGCTGAGGAGGTTCATTTCTAGGAACAAGAAAGCATATTGGCACAGCTATGACAGGTACATATAGCAGGCATGTCTGTGTTTCAGTATCATCCCAGAAGGCAGGGTAACTGTAGCTGAAGGTGGGCCTTTTACCCACAGTCCTAAACTCTACTACTCCTTCAAATTACCCCAACTAGAAATAATTTAAAAATAACATTTCATAGGTGCAAGTAATATATTTTCAGTCTTCACCTTAGTGTCAATAAAATCATTTTTAAAACTTCATTTAAAAATGATATAAAATCTAAGTTGCTTTGCTGTGCCAGGTATGCTTACTTCTAAGCCTAAGACAAGATATGTGGGCTATGCCTAAGCTACATCTAGATAGAAAGTCTAGAGCCTATTCAAGATAAACCTTGCTGGGAGCAGAAAGATTTGCTTAGAATCCTGAGCAACATGGGGCATGTTGGGGAAACAAACCTTCTAGAGCAAGAATAACATTCTTGATTAGATTTCTGGGCCAGAAATTCTGGACAGAGGTCCAAGTTAATCTCAGATACCCTAGCTGAGCAACCTGGAGAAAGAAGGTTCTGGCAACACTAGGTGCAAAGTTGAAAAGACCTCTTTTCTGGAGATTCCTCAGTAAACTAGAATTACAGGTACCATTCAACCCAGCTATTTCCCTTTTGGGTATTTTTCCAGAAGAACTAAAACATCATATACAGTGATATATGTGCATCCATGTTTATAGCAGCACAATTTGTAATAGCTAAATTGTGGAAGCAACCCAAATGCCCATCAACTGAGGAGTGGATAAAAAGATGTGGTATTTTTACATAATGGAATATTACTCTGCTATAAAGAAAGATAAACTCAATGCTTTCATAGGCAAATGGACACAACTAAAGACCATACTCATAACAAAATAAATCAGACCCACTTGTGTAAATACTTTATTATCTTCCTAGCGTAAGAATCTGAAAGCATAAATAAATTCTAAAAGGTATATTAGATATTGTGAAAGGGAAAGAAACTGCTCAAAAGGAAAGAACAACTGGGATGAGGGTAAAGAGAAAACAAAGAAAAAAGGGAAAATGTGTATACATAGGATAGCTAAGATAGTTGTACTACTGATTTCTATTGCTTTATTGAAAGGAATAATGTTTAATTGTTTGATCAATCTTACATGCCTATATTTGTTTAACTGAGTAATCAATTTGAAGATAACAATATGTAATACAACAACCATTGTTAATTTCCTGTCACCTTCTCTGAAATTTTGTATTGCTTCTGTTGTTTTGGTGTTGTTTTTTTTATGTCTGTTTGTTAATGTATATTTGGTCCCCCTCCTGTGGCATTTTTGGGAGGAGGTGGAACCATTAAGAGGGGAGGCCTAGTGGGAGAAAGTTAGGTCACTGGGGGGTGTGCCCTTGAAGGGGATGTTGGAACCCTAACACCTTCTTGTTTCTTTGCTTCCTGGTTACCTCAAGGTAAAAAGCCCTCTCCAGCCAGGTGCTCCCACCATGTTGTACTGTGCCACCACAAGCCCCAAAGCAGCAGGACTAAGCACCTATAGACTGAAATCTGAACATATGAGTTAAAATAAAGCTTTCCTCTTTATAAATTGATATGTGCCATGTTTCTTATAGTAATGAAAAGCTAATTCAGCCTGTATGCAGCTCTCTTATAGGATGGTGACTCATCATCCTACAATAGAACAAGTATAAATACTAGAGGATAACCAGTTATCTATGAGTAGATCTCATCAAATTCCAGAAATTGATGTACAGCTGCTAAATATTTCTATCTTTGTGAACAAGCAGACACTAAAGGGAGAGCCAACGTAAGGATTTGGGGGTTTGTTTGTTTGTTTGCTTTTGGCTTTTTGAGGCAGGGTCTTACTATGTAGTTCATGCTGGCCTTGAACTCACTATGTAGCCCCAGGCTGGCCTCAAATTCATGACAATCCTTCCAAGTCCTGGGATTATAGGCGCGTGCCACCACACCCAGCTCAGTGTAAGGTTTTAAATATTGCAAGAAACTGCAGCCACAGACAATGTAGAAGTATTTCTCTGAATAGAATACAGTGTGGTGTATTTCAGAATGTATTGCTATTCCTGGCTCTGATTCACAATAACTCCTAATTTGGACTTCATGTGAATGGATTCATTTAGTGGGGGAAGAGCATGGGAAGCGGTGGGGACTCCCAATCTGTTCTTTTGTTCCTTGATATTGTAGTGTGGCAACAGGAGTCAGGGAGTGATATTCTCTGGAAGAAGGGTCACCCTCATGCTCAAGTGTGGCATTAGCCAAACTTAGCAGTCCCACCAAAAGTGTGCGATCATTTTTGAAACCTCCAACTGAATAGAACTGTTCATAACTGATGTCCTGTTTTTATTGAGTCTGCAACCTCTTTTTTCAGATTGAGGACCTGCTTACCAAGGCCAGTTTGTAGTGCTATCTTTTATACATCCTACATGCTCCTAGCACTGAAAAAATATCAAAGGCTGGCCACATTGATCTTCCTTGGCATCCTATTGCTGTATATAGTACATAGCATCAGACATCAACTCTCCATACATCCTGTTGTGTTGCCCCTTTTGCCTAGAACTTAGAGGCACCAGCGAGTTAACTTCTAACAAGATGTGGGAAATGTTTTCAATGCTGTCTCTTACAGAAGAAACTTTACACTCATTCATTCAACCAGCATATTTTGCACCTACCATTGCCCAGGCACCTTGGCAGATACTGGGGATTCTGTGAAGACAGTTCATTACTCTCAAGAATCCCACATATCCAAAAGAAGACAAATAAGCCACCATTGCTGTGCTGTAATAAGTGTCAGTGCAGAGGCTGGGATGCTCTGGGAGCACAGAGGAACAGCATCAGAATCAGCCTGAAGATAGAAAAGGTCCTCCAGCAGGGAGATGACACCTGCAGTGAGTGGGAAAGACGATGATCAATATGTCAGTTACTTATTGTTACATCTGCTGGATTGGGGAGCAGGAGGAAAGGTCCAGGCACAGGGAGCAACATGTGTGAGGGTGTGGCCTCACAAAGCCACAGTATGAAGTCACAGTGAGAGGAGTGACAAGCATGTGACAGGGTGGGTGTGAAGGTCACCTGTGAGAGACTAGCAGGAGATAAGTTTCAAGGGCCAGGATTATGAAAGGCCCTATGTGCCATTTTGAACTTTATCTTAAAGACAATGGAGAGCTGTTACAGACTGGAAGCAGAGCTGAGGTCTGATTGAATGTGTGTTTTAGAAAGAGCCTCTGCTTCTGGTCACAAGGTGGGGCACAAAAGGAAAGAGATGAGAAGAGGTGCAGAGGGATAAAGCCAGTCCTGGGGGGATGTGTTCCTCTGATCAGTGCCCCTGTGAAGCAGTTGTGGATACTATGACAGAGAGCACCACATGATCCTTACTACAGAATTTAACCTCTTCACCTGCAAGTTTTTGGTGTATTTTAAAATTCATTTCCCTCTACGTGGGTTTAGGTTTATTCTGTCTCCATATTGGATCTAAATTGTGTACGAGGTATAGAATGTTTTGGATATTATTTTCTTAAGAAAACCTGGGTCCATTTTCTCCCAGCATCCTCTGTTGCGCTGGAGAAGTTTGAAGGCATTCTGGCTCCTAATCCATAATCTCTGCCTAGTTTTCCCTTCTGGAAATTTGTACATCTTGTTTTTATCCCCATAGATCTGTGGATCCCAATTCTGAAACTGACAGTGATGTGTTTTGATCTGAATCTATTTACCTTCCTTGGCCAGTGCTGTGTGTGCTCTCTCAATTTGGGAATGCACATTCTTTAATACTTGGAATTATTTCTTAATTATTTCACTGAGTATTTCCTCCTCTCTACTTCCTTTGTCTGGATATCTTACTATGTGATCATTTATCCTTTTAAATCAGTGGTTCTCAACCATTTTCCTGTACTAACCCTCGGATTTCCTGTTTTTTCCTTCATCTTTTTTATTGTTTTGCTTCTGTTTTCCTTTTTTCTTAGTTTTTATTGAATTATTTATTGTTACTATGGTTTTAAAAATAATTTTCAAGCTAATTTTTATTTTGTAAAGAATCCCTTAAAAATAACATCCTTCTGTTGTTTCACAGATGAAATTTATTTTCATACCTCTCCAAGATTTTAATATTCGCTGTTTTCCTATTTAATTTTTTTCTACACTGTCACTTTTTTTCTGTAAGATTTTTAGTTCTTCCATTTTATTTTGCTCTTCCTGTGGTATTTTCTCACTTTGATTGTCTGCTTATATTACAAAAGAAGGAAACTGTGTTCCTATGGTGGACTTTGCTGAAAAGCAGTGATTCAGTGTGTACTTCGGGCTTGGTAAATACCAGTCGCAGGGCCTTATGGCCAATATGTTTCATTCAGTGAGTTCAGAGGTCGGTGCAAGAATTTGAATTTTCAGCAAATTCCTTGGTGATGCTGATACTGCTGGTTAGAAGGTCACACCTGGAGAACCACTGTTCTAACTGGCTTTTTCTTGAAGACTCCAAAAGATGAATATTTTCAGGTATTTCTTCTTGGAGTCACATTTCTCAAAAAGATCTCCTAATATCATTCTTAGTCTCTAAGCCTGGCTGGAGTATTTTGGTAGCCGAAGAATGCTTGGTGGAAATGTCTTACTATTAAATCTGTTTTATTACGGTATTCTTGCAATGAGCTATTTCTAGAGTTCTCTGGTCCAGAAGTCCTTTGCTTCAACTCTTAAGGAGTAAAAGTATCTCAACTTGGGCAAGTGTGGACAAGGGTCAGTGTTTCAGCTGGGCAGTGAGAGAGCAAGATCTGTGGATCCCAAGGCTCCCTTTGCAGACTCTCAGCTGATCCTTTTATAGCACCTTGACTCCTAATCACTGCATCCTCCATGGTGAGCACTGGAGTGTTCTCAAGGGTAGTAAGTTTGCTCCTCACTTCCCATTGTGAGAATTTAAAAACTCTACTCTAATTCTTCTGTTACCTTTGTCCTTCACTTCCAGCTCCCAGAATTTTATTTCTTTTTCCTGATTCCTTTTTGTTGAAGGAGGAGTCTGCATCCTTTTTAAGCCCCTACAACTGTGATTTTTAGTAGGCTTTCAAAAGGAGGCAATAAATGAAAATGTTCAATCTGCTAACTTTATCCAACAGTCCATGTGAGCATTATAAAACGATTTGATTTAGTATTAATTGCAGACAATTCTGAGCCACTGGTATTTGTAAAGACAGATGTGGACTCACTGTGACTATTTCAAGTTTATGAGCCATTTTTTGTTCTGTTCTAAAGAACACTTCCTACTTCAAAAGAATGTTGCTTTTTAAAAAAACATGTCTCCAATAATGACCCTTGGAATAAAATATGGAGACTCTCACTTTCCTGGCATCTCTGATATATATTAGTTAGAAAATGCCCTCAAGAAACAGTAAAGTTCTAAATCAGATTCATTTCGATATTCATTGTAACATATTTACATTGTCAGAATTTTTACAATGCTTCTAATGAAGTGCTCAGTATAATGAATTGTACAATTATAACAAAATAGAGTTCTAATGAGCAATTATCATTCTAAGCAAGAACATTCCAGGTTTTTTTTAAATTCTCCTTCTCTCAAACTGGAGGCTAACAAGAAGTTACACAAAAAATTAATGAGGAGCATGTGTAAGTAGCACAGGACCTAATTAAAGTGACTCTACCAGCCCAGTTTCCCCCCGAGTTTGTAAGTGGCAAAATCATTTGAGAAAATGGGCTGGCAGGAAGGGCCTCAGGAACTGTCCTGCTCTACACGCCCACATAGAGGAGACAGCACTCTCTAGACTGTGATGTCAGGTGTGAACGAACAACTCACTAATGCCAGCTTTGAATCTGTAGTGTTCCTTGATAAAAGGAGGGTAAATGGGCCAGAGGCTTATTCAGCCATTAAGGATCCAAGGGAGGAAGTCTGTGAACCATCGTACTTGTTAAAGAAAGCCTGCCCTTTACTAAAGGGCCACCTTGTACGGGCCAGGAAGCATTATGCTGGATAATGTACTATGCCGTATTTTGGATTCTTACAGTGACCTGTGTGATCCATACTTTATAGGTGGGGAAAGCTGAAGTTTGGAGATGCTAAGTGAAGTGCCCCAAAACAGCTGGCCTTCTAAGGGGAAGCCACTCCCTTGGCTTGATTCTTCCTGGCCTTCTCACTGGTCCACTCTGTGACCTGAAGCAAGCTATTTACCTGTTTCCTGGAACCTGCTCTGTACAGCCCCAGGGACACAGACTGTATATATTAGAGCTCGGAGTTGTTAATGCAAAGGTTCTGCTTTGCCCACCTGCTTCCTTCAGGGAGGTAGTAAAAAAATCATCACTTTTATTGATTATGGTGTTTCTGTCACAAGTAACCAAAAAAAAAAAAAAAAAACAAAACAAACAAACAAACAAAAAAAAACCGCTATTTACCATATAGGAGAAAAGAGTCATTTCACAGAAAAAGAGGTTCTGGTATAGAACTCGCCTTGGTTTGTTCAGTCAATGACTTTATAATGTCATCAGAGCCATAGTTCCTCTTATCTTCTGACACTGTCATCTTCAAGGTCCTGGCATTGCTTCAGCTGCATTCCCCCAAGGTTGCAGTGCAGTTACTGCTATTCCAGGTACCATATCCCAACACAACAACATCCAGAAGAAAGGTGTCAAACAACCCTCGAAATCCATATGCTAAACCCTTGGTGTCTAACCTGTGGTGCTACTGTGAGGTGGAGCCTTTCAGAGATAGGGTCCTCTGGAAGGAAGTTAAGTAGCTGGGGTATGCCCTTGAGGGGAAATGGAGAGCTTTGCCCCTTGTTCTCTTTTTGTTTCCTGGCTACCGTGAGGTGAACGCCCCTCTGTCCGTATTCACTCACCAAGATACACTGCGTACCACAAGCACAAGGCAATGGGGTCAAGTGCCTACTGGCTGAAACCCTTGAAACCAGGAGCCACAATAAATCTTTTTTCCCTTATGCTGTTCATCGCAGATATTTTGTCACCATAATAGAAATCTCACTAATACAAAAGGTCACAGATGCTAGCAATCCTGCATCTAGGTAACATTTCTAAGACCCCCCAGCAGGCTGCTGCTGATACTTTATTGGTCAGAACTAGATCACCCTTATACCTATCACTGATAAGGGACACGGGTTTTCATCAGAGTGGACTAACGTGGGTTCACTCCTCTGTCATCTTAGGAAAAAGTGGACATCTCATAAAATCAGCAAGGAGTCAGGGAAGCACTGGCTTTTAGGTAAAGAAGTGTGCTAAGCCTCTCTGAGGAAAAACCATGTAAAATGAGGTGTTCACTCTGTTTTTTTCCAGATTAGGGATGTGGGTATGAAAAGTGTTGGTTTGAGAGCTTTATTCACAAGGTACAACAAAACTAAACAAACTTTTTGTGTGCTAGGATTTAAACTAAATATCCATATATAGAGATAATTACTGTATACACATTCAACTACCAATACTACAAAGCAGAAATAGGATCCAAAGATCATGAAATAATAGATATTTACCTTTTTGGTTAAAGTTTAAAGTATGGATGCTTGGAGCTGATCAGAAACAGCTGAAAGTTGGACACTAAAAGTGCTCATGACAACATTCACAAGGGGATGATGTAAATCCCTGCAGTCATATTTCAGTACTTTGAGTGACATAGTGGAGTTGGTATGTTATTCTTGTTCTCCCAATGGCAAAGTTTCCCATAAGGCTGACAAATGATGCAATCTGCAGCTCTTCTTACATGGTATTTTCCTTATCACGTGCAATTTCCTCAGTTCACTATGGTAGGTTGGAGGGGAGTGTTTGATTCATTGTGCTACACTTAAAGAAACTGAAGGTTGTTGAGCTTATTCAATATATTTAACATGTTTTAAATATGGAAGAAAAGAATTGACTGTTATGAAATAGCTGCTTCCTTAATTATGAGCTATTAATTGTTCCACTAACCTCAGCCTGGAGTCAAATACCTGGAAAAGA